GGCCGGCTACTGGCCGCACCGTGCCGGGGCCCCGGGGCCCCGGGCCGCCAATGCCAGCTCACCCCCTGTTAGTGAGCTGCGACGCGAGGGTCGCGGCGCGGGCCGGGGTCATGGCCCGCACGAGCGGCTGCGGCTGCTTGGGCCAGTGATCATGGGCGTCGGCTTGTTTGTATTCATCTGTGCCAACACGCTTCTCTATGAGAACCGAGACTTGGAGACGCGACGACTCCGCCAGGGGGTGCTACGGGACCAGGCCCTCCGGCCCCCCGACGGCCCCAGCTGGGACTGCGCTCTCCTTCCCAGCCCTGGCCCAAGGACTCCCCTAGCCATAGGCTGCGCGGAGCCAGAAAGTTGGGACCTGTCCCCGCGTCCCGTCCCGGGTACCTCACCCGTCCCGTCAGTGCGGAGTCTGCGTTCAGAGCCTGCTAATCCTCGCCTCGGGTTACCTGCCCTCCTCAACAGTTACCCGCTGAAGGGTCCAGGGCTGGCCCCTCCCTGGGCTCCACGAACCCAGACTGGCCACGTGATCATCACAGTGCAGCCCTCTGGCTCCTGCATTGAACATTCCAAGTCTCTGGATCTGGGCCTTGGGGAGCTTCTCCTTGGGACCCCAGCTGCTCGTGACTGTGCTCACAGAAGCTGGCCACGGCTGGACCGTCTCAGTCTGGGGGGGTATGCCAAATTGGGAGGAGAGAATTTGGGGGCCCGGGTCTGAGGAGTAGGGGGGACAACCCGCTATGAGGCTGCAGCATGGACCATGATAACAGGACCAGAGACCATAGCTGCTTCAGGCACATCTCAGGTTGGGATGGACCTCCGACCACAGCAGCTGTTAAGGCATCCTACCTGTGTGTGGTAGCTGCATAAGGCTTGGTGAGCCAGCAGGAGTGGTTTAAAGTGGAGTGTGGAGACCAGCATGCCTCGGCCTCAGGAATTTCTTCAGCCTCCATATGTGGCCTTAGCCCTGGACAGGTACCTGAGGGGACTGGAGGTCCAGGCCAAAGGTGATGGGGAGATGCACCCAGTGTCTTAACAAACCCAAAGTGGTGGGCAAGGACCTCTAAGACTTGGAAGGTAGGTTGGGATGTTGCAGGCTGGGACAGACAGGCCTTCTCCAGAGTAGGGCTAGAGCTTGGGCTTCTGGGAAGATGGGCAATGGGAGGGTGCTGAGACCCTCCACTGCCATCTGGGATGGGGACTGAACCTTTAGCTCCCATCACCTCAAACCCTTTCTTTCTTTAGCCATGCAGGGTATATCCCACTAGGGCTAACTACTGCCAATGTCTTCATACTGAGGTCTGACCACTCCCCAGAGAGGTCTGAGAAGCCCTCCTCTTTTTATTTCTTATTTTTTTTTTTTATTGTGGCCTATGCCGCAGTCTCCCTTCAGCTGGCAAAAAGCATTTGCCAGTTCTCAGAAACCCCTTTGTACAACACTGAAGCTGCATTTGGGCCAATGTGGGGAGCTTACTTTAGAAAATGTTTTCAGGTTAGGTCTCCCCCATCCAGCTTTCATTTTCCCCAAGTTACTGATAGAAGAGAAATACAAAAGCAGATCAATCCTTAGAGTCAGTGGGCTTTTTTTTTTTTTTAAGTTTATTGAAAAATGCAGTACAAGAAGCAAGACCAAATACATATCTAAACACTACAACCACTTCTCTTACTACAAAAGGCCAAAACAGCAGACCTAATTATTGCCTATTTAATCTAGGGATTTTGCCAATTTGATTCTGCTGCCATGGTTCCTATTTTGTCAAGAAATGTAAACAACTACTTGATATGATTCATAATTTTTTAAAAAAATTTACAAAGCTCCTTCATTTTTGTCACCAAAATAATACATTTGAGAGAGATTTGTAAAAACAACTAGCCTGGGGCTGAGCTCCTGGGAAGAGGTTTCCCATGAGCATCAAGGGGTGTTGGTCAAGCCATAGCTCTGGCTCCATTTCCCAAGGTAGATGGTGGACTCCTCACCCCTGGCTGCTCAAGGTTCCCCCAGAATATAGTGATGGCCCCAGTGGGGGCGGGGAATGATGTCCCCTGGGCCCTTGGTTGTGAGTGCAGACCTTGCTTTGTGGGTAGGTGGCAGAGCTCTCCTGTGGTTTGAAGGAAATCTTTAGTTCTGAAGTAAAAATAAAATGGCAGTGAGAGTTGTTACTGTGGTGTGTCTGAGTCACTTTAGGAATCGCTGTCTGGGACCCTGGAAGTGTGACTCTCCTCTCCACGCTTTACCATTTCTACCTGGACAGTCTATTTTTTTCTTCTCACACACATACACACAATTGCAGAATGAAAGAAAAAAAAAAATCCAAACAATTGCCAAACTCCAAGATCTGTTGCCAGAATGGGAGGAAGGGGAAGCGGCCTGGGAGGAAGTTAGTGTAATTCTGGTTCAACTGACAGAGGAGGAGGGAGCTGGCGGCAGAGCTGAGGAAAGCTTAGGCCCCCAGATGCGAGGTCCTGTGCTATGAAGGCTGCCACACTGATCTGGAGAGCACAGAACATTGGGGATGCTGAAGAGACATGCATGTGCCCCTCCCTTCGCCCATCCTCTTCCTCCCACAGGTCTCCAGTTTTTGTTTGTTTTGGAGATAGGGTCTTGCTCTGTTGCTAAGGCTGGATACAAACTTACAAAACTCCTGCCTCAGCCTCCCAAGCAGCCGGGATCCTGGGTGCATACCACTGCGCCCAGCTCTAGGTTTCCGCATCGTGAGCATTGGTAGCTCCTTCGGCAGGACACCTGACCACTTGAAAGTAAGCTCATTATCCGTCTGTTTGATGGGACAGGGGTTCAAACCTGACAACACAGTCCTGGCTTGGGCCCCCAGAAAGCCTCATCACGCCAGACCCTATGCCACAGCCTGTACATCTGCTCCTGAGACAGAACAACCCGCTGCCCCCCAGCCTGTCATAACTCCCCCGACTCTCCCCTCCCTCCTGAGCTGCCTGTTGGCAATAGTGATCTCACCTGAGAACTAAAAGAAAAAAACGCACACACTCGCAATCAGTTCACATCAGCTGAGTTTGTCTAAGTAACACTCGGCTAGTAGAGACTTTGGACACGTGCTGCTGGCTTCAGACTGTGCTCACGCTCAGTGTCCTTGAGCCCCGGTGATCGCTGTCAGTGACTCACTGACTAATCTCATGAAGTTCGCTTCTAGCCTAGAATTAGGATTCTAAGAAGCTTCCAGGCAGATCTGTTGTGGGAAGCAAGCTGGAGGATTAGAGAAGCCCTATTGAATAAAAATGCCCCAAATCCTTACCAGGAATTGGGGACATCAGTCCTCACTTTCAAAACCAAGGCAAATAAAAAAACCTAAATCTAAAACCCACCACAAAATCAAGCCCACAAAACCTGACAGACCTCAGGTGGCGAGGGGGGATGAGCAGCCCTAGGGCTTATTCCCGTCATGTGGTGTCCTGTGGGAGGGATGGTCCCTAGAAGCCGATAATCCCCTTGCTCCAGAAGGATGTCCTCAGGCAGGTGCCTCTCAGGAGGAAGGTCAGAGAACACAGCTCCTGTCTGAGCTACATCCCTTGTGACAATAAAAGAAAGGCCCAGACCTGGTTACCTGAAACACTCCTTAGAAGACTGAGGTAAGCACCACTCCTCAGCATGAAGTGCGCACTCCCAGAACTAGAACACCTTATTCTAAAAACCTCATTAGCTTTCCTTCCCCAAACCGCCACTGAAACATTCCATTAGAGCTTTTGGCCAAAGGTGCCTACTTTTCCGTGAGTTTTGGTCTCCTAAGACGGGAGCCTAGGGGAGTGCTTGGCAGAGCCACCGCTGCTGCTGAGGTACAAGGGCAACTGGGGAGGTGAAGGCCACGGGTATGTTCAAACATTCACAGTATCAGATCTACCTGAAGCAACTTCTTATGTCTCTGACCAAAAGAAGCTCCAAAACAGAGCGCGCGGGAGGGAGGGAGGGAGAACAGCACTACATTCTCAGCGGAGGTCTCTGCCTCACCAAAAACACTCTAACAGAGGGACAGGACATTTTTCTGGGGTCTATGGATCAGGGCAGTCATGCTGCCTGATATTCTGGTAAAGTGGCATCTTAGCTCTGAGAAAGAGCTGGTTCATGAAGTTTCGCTGTCATCCAGAGGGTATAAAACTAGGGCAGGAGCGGGGAGTCCCACTGAGCTGACTTTGGCCTCCAACACAGCTGACAGGGTCTCTGGAGGATTTCCTGAAGAATTCTGTGGACCCTGTTAGTATCTGGGCTGGAAATAAATGGGGGGAGGCTAGGTTGGAGGGGTTACAAACCGCTCCGTAAAAAAACTCTTTAGGAATAGTCCATAGAGTGAAAAGCTGAGCAATTTCTGATATCACAATATAGAAAAAGGTCTTCAAAAGGATCAGTGATAGCTAGAAGAATCTCTTGGTATAAACTCCAAATAGAAAATGAAAACTTCCTGGTGGTTTAAAGTAATCTTGAAAGTCTGAAGTCTGACTATTGCAGGTTGGCTCTGTATCATCGCTGGTTTTTCTTGGATGGGAGAAGGGCAGGGAGTTGGGGGCAGGACAGTTCCTAGAGGAAGGAAAGAAGCACATTGTTAAATTCTGTGAAGGAGACAGCTTCCCAGTCCCACTGCCAAGTTCTTGTGGCCCTAAGTGACAATCAGAACCTGAGCACTGAACATATCCTACCTTGTGATTGATAGTTTTCTCAAATCCTTTGTAAACTATGTTATTTGGCTCCCCAAAGTAGCTTCTTGCTTCTAGTTTTTGGCCCCAGAGTGTCACTGCCTTCTCCCACCTGTCCCAAATCCGTACACTTACAGATACCCTGATCTGGCTCTTTGTGACAGTTATCTGATCCTTCCAGGCTTGGGCTTGGAAATTCCAGAGATGCCGGTGCCACAGAGAGCAGAGCAAAAGGGGTTGAGTTGAAGTGGAGAAGCAGGGGGCAGGAGGAGTCAGGAGGTGAGACGTTATATCCAAATTTGGTGTCCCTCTTCCTACCCAAAACTGCTGGTACTGTTCAGGACCGGACACAACAGCAGCTTGCTTTGGCACTGTGAATTTTTTTTTTTTTTTTTTTAATGAATCTTTATTTAGTTTTTAGTTTTCAGCAGACACAACATCTTTGTTGGTATGTGGTGCTGAGGATTGAACCCGGGCCGCACGCATGCCAGGCGAGTGCGCTACCACTTGAGACACATCCCTAGCCCATGAATTTTTTTTTTATTTTTACTTTTTTTAGTTGGAGACAGACACAATATATTTATGTGTGAATGTATGTATGTATGTATGTAGTTATATGTGGTGCTGAGGCTCATCCCCAATGCTTCACACATGGCAGGCAAGCACTCCACCACTGAGCTACAACCTCAGCCCCAGTAGCCTGTTTTGGTTAAAGTAAAATAATTCACTATCTCCTCTGCCTTTCCTTTATCAAGTCCCAGTGTGGACACCCTCTGGAGTGATGGGTTCCCAGAGTGGGTTCCAGAGTTCCTGCCAGAGCTCTCAGGCTGGGACAGTGGCATCTTCAACCCCAACAGGAAGACCTATTACCTGAGCTCAGTCCTCAGCGATCTCAGTCTCCTGATGGACAACCACCTTGGTCACAGACATGTCTGGGTGCTGTTCTTTTGCCTCCTTGATAGCTTGTACAAGGACCTATAAAAGAAACAATGCCCATCAGGGAAAAACAGGCTGGCTTGTGAAGGCCAGCAAGGGCCAGAGCTGACCCAGCTCAGGCTGCATCATGGCGGCATAAGCTAAGCTGATGACCACCTTCCCACCCTCTCCTGCCCATGGAGGCTCCTGGACCAACAGGACAAGAAAGGGAAGGCAAGAGTTGTCTTCAGAGCATCAGAGAGGGACCTCAGGGGTGACCACATCTACCCGGGCGGGTCTCAGAGGAGCAAGCAGGGAATCTACAGGACAAAATCTGTTCAACACAGCTTTCTCCTTTGCAGGATTTAACAATGTGCTTCCTTCTTCCCTCTGGAAATGTCCTATCCCCAAATCCCTGACCTTCTCCCACCCAAGAGGGTAACCAGGAAGTTCAGGACAGGACAGGAAAGAAGTGTGTGATAAAAAAAGGAAGAAATGTCAGGACTGAAGTAGAAGACAGGAAGGACCAGCGGATGGCCCATGATGCGCCGAACACTGGCCTGAGCCCATTACTTATTATTTAATCTTTTTGTTTGTACTGGGAACTGAAACCAGGGGTGCTTTACCTCTGAGTCACATTCCCAGCCCTTTTTATGTCTGATCTTGACACAGGGTCTCACTAAGTTGCTGAGGCTGGCTTTGAACTCACAATCCTCCTGCTTTAGCCTCCAAACCAGCTGGGATTATAGTCGTGCACCACCATGCCAAGCTTTCCCAGCCCTTTTTATTTTGAGACAGGTTTTGCTAAGTTGTTTAGGGTATCACCAAGTTGCTGAGACTGGCCTCAAACTTTTGGTCCTCTTGCCTCAGACTCCTGAGTCACTAAGATTACAGGTGTGTGCTATCATGCCCTGCTATTGTTTACTTGATCTTCTCAAAGTGAGAAAAGTAGGATAGTATCATTATTTGTATTTTATAGAATGGGAAACAGAAGGTTAAATAAAGTGCTTATTGTTTCAGAGGTAATAAGTAATGCAACAGGAAGTTTAAGTTTACCACCTTGTCTTTTAGTTTCTGAGGGGACCCTGTTTAAGTACCTGGAAGAGTTTGCATTACCATAGAAAAGCTAAAAAGAGAGAAAGTCAAAGGAGGGCAGTGGAATCCCTTCTGGCTGCCAGCTCTGAGCAGATCCCTTATCAGAAAGGACTCTGGGGGCTGGGGCTATAGCTCAGTGACAAAGTGCTTGCCTCACGTGTGAGGCACTGGATTCAATTCTCGGTACCACATAAAAATAAAATAAAGGCATGCTGTTCATCTACAACAACAGCAACAAAAAAGGGACTCTGGCTAGAACTGACCAGCCGACTGCTCATGCTCACCCTAGGACCATCTCAGGACAGGAAAAGAGCAAAATTCTCTCCTGGTCTCTTGGCTCCATGAAAGCCATTCTTAGACCTGCCACCTCCACGGGCCCCTGCTCACCATTCCTGCTTTTCTAACCCATCTGCTCATACTTCAGACCCAGCGCAAGCCCTCTCCTTGTGACTCTGCCTCCCCCTCTCCCTGAAAGGCTGTGCCACGCTGCTTTCCCTGCCTAAAGCCTTCCCTCCCCAGTCAGAGACCACGTGGTACTCCTTCCACACGGTCCTCAGTGAAGCAACGCTGCTCTGACGTGGGTTCATCGGAGCGTCTCTGAGCTCTCAGGTGTGCTTGCTCCCCTTTTTTACAATGACCCTAAAGAAACACGTGATGATCCTTATTCCAGGGATGGCCAAACTACAGCTCACAGAAGTAGTTACTGTAAGTTGCTCCAGGGCACTGGTAAGTTGAGCGCCAGGATGCAGCACGGTTTGTCTTCCTGCACACCATGATCGCCTTCTTTCTCATGCTTACTGTCCCGCACAGACCCAGCACAGGGAGACTCGAATCACCCAGCTGCAGGCTGGGGAAGGCAGGGCCCACCGGGTTGGGCACACGGCCTGCAAGGTCTCCTGAAGGGCTTTTTTTTAAATTGGTGCATTATAATGATACATAGTAGTGGGGGTCTTCATGCCATCTACATACAAGTGCAAATTCCACTGGGATTTGCAGTCTTGTTTCTGGGACCTTGAGCCCAGTTTCCCTGCTGTAAGTCTCAACCCTGCTACCGAGGGAACTGCCAGCACTGCAGCTCAGTTCTTTTTTTCTTCTTCTTCAGGCAGTCAGCATATCAGCATAAAGGCCACAGAATTACTGCTCTAGCAATCCTGTCAATGATTCCAGAAGCATTTGTATGCAGTCTCTTCCACCCCCTCTCCTCTGCAGCTTTACTCTTCTAACCTCATCCAGAAGAGAATTGGGAACATTAATTCTGACCTTATTATTTGCTAATTGCTTGCAGCATACAATTAGCACCTAATTAACATAAAAACATAGAATTTTAGCACCAGGAAGGGGCCCAGAATTTATTTAGATCAACCTCTTCTCTTTTAGAAGAGGTAAAACAGGGGCGCAGTGAATTGCCCAGTGTTACACAGCAAGTTAGTGTTAGATCTAGGACAGAAACCAAGTCCCAGCCTTCTGGTGTCTTGCCCACCGCGCTGCACTTGCCCAGTTGTCTCCTCAGCTATTACAGTGCCCTGGGGCAGGGACCGAGCCTTTCTATTGTTGCAATATAATCTAGCACAGATTTAGGACATTATTCCTCCTTCATAACATGGAGCCCACCATGGGTCTCAGGCTGCACATCCAGCATCTCACTAGATCTGCAGGCAACCTTGAGAGAGGGCACCATCATCCCTGGCTGACAGGTGAGGAATCAGAGGCCCAGGGAGTTGAGTACTGAAATACAATGAGAGCCAGCTTCTGAGCCCAATTCTTAGGTCCACGCACAGCCCAAGCTCCTCTGCTGCACCTCCTAGCTCCCCTTCTGCTGCCCCACCCACAGGCCTCTACCTTCTCAGTCCTGTTCTTCTCAAAAGCTATGGCTGTGAAGCTTTTTGGAAATGAAGTTGGCAGAGATACCCTTTGTACACAGCACTCTCGTGTCCATTGATCTTCCTGCCCTCCCAAGTTCAGAATTTCCCTGCATTCCTACCTGGTCATGGTCAATATCAGCATCTCCTGTGATCACAATTCTCTTCTCAATCCGGGTCTCTGATATTCCACCCTTTACAGTCTGTAACCAAAGGAAAATGGTCATAGGAGATCAGCAATGTAACAAGAAAGAAAAAACAAAATAGCAACGATTATTCTGAAAGCTATGCTCCAAATTTTAACCTGCAGCTGGCCCTGCATAGGACAGCGTCTTACCCACATGTCCAAAATCTTGGCAGAACCTATTAAGATGAGCACATCTCCACCCTGGAGCTCACTGAGATTTTTAATAAGCTAAACAGAAAACCACAGTTCTCCATTTACTGTCTCCTTTTTTCTTCCTCCCAAACACCAGAGAAATTCAGCAACAAAACAAGTCTCTCTCTTTGTTCTTCTATATATTTCCATTTGATTACTTTTAGGAGGAAAAAAAAAATCAGAATACACTATGAATAAAAATGTCACACAGTTTGAAATTGGGATCTTTTATTTTAAAATTACTTTCATGTTATTGATGTCAAAAGATATTTCAGATAATCTCCTGAAGGCTGGTAGGTTTCCATGACAGATGAGGAAAACTGAAATCAGTCATCCGTATTAATGACAGAGCTTGGTCAAGAACCTGAATTTATTACCCACGAGAAAATGCATTTTCCTCTAGTACTATAGCAACCTCTGATTTTCTGAGGGTAGTTCCAATTTTAGATGTTTGTCTCTATTGTTTCCTATAGACCATATCCTAGTAAGTTTAATATTTCAGCTCTCAAACTATAGCTCCCCTGACCCTAACCCTGGACATGACATAAAAATTCTTTATTAGACCCAGAGTTCTGATTTTTGGCTTAGAAATAAAATATGATCACACTATTAAATCAACAATTCCTGCCTTTAAACTGACTTTTGTGTGTGTGTGTGTGTGTGTGTGTGTGTGTGTGTGTGTGTGCACGCGCGCACGCTGAGGATGGAACCCGGGGCCTTGAGTATGGTAGGTAAACACTCTGCCACAGAGCTATACCCTCAGCCCAAGCTGAGGGTATACCTGCACCTGCACAGCTGGAAAGACAGACAGATTTGTAAAGAGTGACGACATGTGACTTTGTGAGAGTACCAAGTGGGCTGGGATACGATCAGGGCTTTCCTTGATTTACTGCCAGGGAAAGCAACAGGGTCTTTCTATCTGGGACACTTGGAATAATTTGGTTCCATAGGAATAGGGTCCTCCTTCCCCAGGGCCAACAGCAAGCTCGACAGGCCACTGGATTCCCTAGGGAAGCTCTAGCTGGCCTGTTACCTTGGTAATCTGAGTTGTGGTGGTGCTGCTTGTGGTCTCAGATGTGATGGTCTGGGCTGTCAGCAAGACTCCCGGGTCCAAGTCCCCATTGCTGTCCTCAGTCTGCAGAAGAAAGTACAACTCATCATCATGCCTCTCAGGAAGCTTGGCAAATATTGCAGGCTGCAACTGTGCTCTTCAATGGTACGTTCTAATGTAATAATCAAATTCCCTTATAGTGACCTTTTGTGGTGTGTATGTGTTTCACTGGGGATTGAACCCAGGGCCTCAAGACAAGGCAAGTGTCCTACCACTAAGCTACATCCTAGTTCTACACAGAACTCTTAATTAAGAAATAGAATAAATCCCAGGGAAGAAGGCGCCTCTAACAATGTCAAATGTATATGGTTTTCTTAGCACGTCAGAAAGAGGAGGCAGGAGTGCAGTCACAGGTTCAACAAGAGTGACATACTGCACACAGGTCACAGGTACATTTTATAGTTCACAAATGACTTCCACAATTTTTTTTTTTTTTTTGCTGGGAATTGAACCCAGGACCTCACATATGCAGGCAAGCCCTCTAACTGGGCTACACTCCCAGCCCTGTAAGTAGTTTTTTTTTTTTTTTTTTTTTTAAGTATATTTGTTTAAAGGCTGTCAGCTTTATTTTTCTTTTGAGATGTGGTGTTGCTATGTTGCCCTGGCTAGTTCTGAATTTTGATCTTGGATGATCCTCCTGCTTCAGCCTTCAGAATAGCTGGGACCACAGGTGTGTGCCACTACTTGGCATTATATTTAAGAACAGGACCACATTTAATTTACCCAAAAGCCTTGAGATATTGAGGGGGGCAGATGGAGGAGAAGAGAATAAGAAAGGAACAGAGTCCTTGGTTGGATTCCTCTACAGGTGGGCATCTGGATAAAAATTAAAGAGAGAGACACTGTGACCCCTAAGTCATACCAGGTATAGAATTAGTTCAATAACATTTTCTTTAGCCCAGATTCAGATTCAACTAATATTTACTGCATTTCTATTATGTGTCAAGCACATCATGCAACTGTTGTCTCAATGATGCTTCTCAACATCATGAGAAGATACTATTATTATATTCACTATGCAGTTAAGAAAAGTATGACCTAGAGAGGTCAAATAGTGTGTCCAAGGTTCTACAGTAGAACCTAGTAGGTGTTTGAACTAGGATGCAGACCAGGCAAGAGACTTCTTGTGTGAAGACTGGAGTTTGAGTCCCAGCTCAGACAATAACTAGCTGTGGGTGGGGGAAAGTTGTTTGCCTTTCCTGAGGCTTAGTTTTCTCATTTATAGTTTTCACACATTATGCTGTAATATGTGCTCTGCAGATACCATATCACTGTTGTGAAAATCAAAAGAAATTATAGAAATAGAAGTTTTTTATAAACTAGTGTAAGAATATAAATTTTCATGCAAGGACTGCTGAAGCTTTGTGCAGAGCTTCTCCTCTATAAATCTGTCACTGTCCCCACCTCCCACCCTCTCTTCTACTCTCTCTGAAGAAGGTGGAAATGGAGGTGACACTGTTACAGCTGACTATTTTCATTCTTCCCACACGGGGCCTCTTCCTTTCTTTTTTTTTTTTTTTTTTTTTTTTAAAGAGAGAGTGAGAGAGGAGAGAGAGAGAGAGAGAGAATTTTTAATATTTATTTTCTAGTTCTTGGCGGACACAACATCTTTGTTGGTATGTGGTGCTGAGGATTGAACCCGGGCCGCACGCATGCCAGGCGAGCGCGCTACCGCTTGAGCCACATCCCGAGCCCCCTCTTCCTTTCTTGATCCTCTAACCAATGTTTCTCAAAATGATACTGTGGCTTTGAGGCTGGGGTTATGGCTCAGTAGTACAGCACTTGCCTAGCATGCGTGAGGCACTGGATTGATCCCCAGCACTACATAAACAAATTAAATAAGCAAAATAAAGGTATTGTGTTCATCTACAACTAAGAAAAAAAAATGATACTGTGGCTTTGACAACAGCTTATAGACACCCACTTACCCTATAATCCAGGAATTCTACTCTTAGGTGTTCACCCAAGATATGTCCACACAAAGACTTGTACATGAATATTCACAGCAGTTTGATTCATATTTACCCAAGCTGGGACTAACCCACTTGTTCATTACCAAATGAAAGGATAAAAAAATCGAGATATATTAATACAATGGAGTACTATTCAGCCATAGATAAGCATGAACTATGGATTCACGTAATACAGATGAATCTAAGAAACACAACACTCAAAGAAGCCAGTCATAAAGTATGTAAATTTTTACCACAAATACACTCTTGTGGGCATAAATAAAAAACCTATCCCAGCTTCCTATCTCATTTCACCACCTGTTCCAAAGTGTGGAGATTGTGAACAAATAAAAAAATGATACTTGTGCTTACTTGTCAAGCAAGACAATAAAAAAAAAGCAGCAGAGGGAGGGGAGGGGGGGATAGTAGGGGATAGGAAAGGTAGCAGAATACAACAATTACTAATTGGGCATTATGTAAAATTGTGGATGTGTAACCGATGTGATTCTGCAATCTGTATTTGGGGTAAAAATGGGAGTTCACAACCCACTTGAATCTAATGTATGAAATATGATATGTCAAGAGCTTTGTAATGTTGTGAACAACCAATAAAAAAAAAAATAAATAATAATAAAAAAAAAAGCAGCAGAAATGGTTACAGTAAATGACAACAGCAGCAAATAGATACCTGGTACTTATTATGTGCCAGATACTTTGGAAGCATGTTACATATATTAATTTATTCTTCTTAACAGTGCTGTGAGCTAGAACTATTAGTGACATTTTACAAACGAGGAAACTGAGGCACAGAGCAATTTACTAACCTGATTACACACTAGGTAGGAAGTGATGAAGCAGGTTCAAACCTAGGATATCTGACTCTATGGGCAACACTCTTTCCCACTGCACATCACTGTCTAACATGAATCCTAAAAAGCAATTTGTATCTTGGCTGACTGTTATGCATGGCTAAAACAAAATAGGATCAATGTATAAAATGCAATATGCTAAGAACTACCATTTTTGAATAGTTACTATATATGTCTCAGGCAAACATGATATTTATTTCAATAACTCTATAAAAAGTAATTTCCAGAAGAGAAAACTAAGGTTCAAAAAGGTTAAATGATTTGCCCAAGGTCAAAAAACTAGTAAGTGGGCTGGGGATGTGGCTCAAGCGGTAGCGCACTCGCCTGGCCTGCATGGGGCGCTGTGTTCGATCCTCAGCACCACATAAAATAAAGATGTTGTGTTCACCAAAAAAAGTAAAAAATAAATATTAAAAAAAAAAAAAACCTAGTAAGTGTTGAAATTAAGTATCCTTAACTCCAAAGCTGGTGTAATTTGTCCAGGCATCTTGCTCACTTTATATTTCTCTTACATTATTTTTTAAAACCATTTAAAAATATGTTTAACTGCATTTTTCTTTTGGTGGGGGGTGGGTACTAGGGATTGAACTCAGGGGCACTTGACCACTGAGCCACATCCCCGGCCCTGTTTTGTATTTTATTTAGAGACAAGGTCTCACTGAGTTGCCTAGGGCCTCGCCTTTGCTGAGGCTGGCTTTGAACTCATGGTCCTTCTGCCTCAGCCTCTCAAGCTGCTGGGATTACAGGTGTGTGGCACTTGCGTCTGGCTAATAGCATTTTTTATGGTTAAAAAAAAAAAAGTTCAAATGTCCAACATTAATTATGTTTAACATTTGGCATACATAAAAGGTGCTGAGTAAACACTACAGTTAAATAAAGACATCATACATATAATTAGCTATAACTTATTTCATGAATAAATAAGAAAAAGTCCCTGGCTGAAAGGATTTTTGTTTCCAATATTGTTTAATTTGGATGCCCCCAGCAAATCTCCACCATTAGACCAAAATGATAATTATCCCCACCAGGCAATCACAACCAACCACACCACTGGCCCCACAGGTTTGGAGGGAAATGTTTGGTGTGTGGTTCTACAACTCCCCCCCATTTTTTAAATTGATGCATTATAACTGTACACAGGATGGGATTTGTTGTTGCATATTTGCACATGCACACAATATAACAATATAATTTAGACACTGTCACTCCCAGACACTTCCCTCTTTCTTCCCTCCCGCTACCCCTTGGTCCCTTTCCTCTACTGATCTCCCTTTGATTTTCATGAGACCTGTTCCCTCCTTTCTCTTCCTTTTTCCTCTCTAGCTTCTGTAGCATATGAGAGAAAAAATACATCCCTTAACCTTCTAAGTTTGACTTATTTCACTTAGTACATGGTCTCTAGTTCCATCCATTTTCCTGCAAATGACAAAATTTCGTTTTTCTTTATGACTGAATAAAACTCTACTGGGTATACAGACCACATTTTCTTTATCTATTCATCTGTTTGCGGATACCTAGGCTGGTTCCATAGTGAATTGAGCTGCTATAAACGTGGGTATGCATGTATCACGGTAGTATGAAGACTTCAATTCTTCAGGATAAATACTGAGGAGTGGTATAGCTGGGTCATATGGTGGCCATGCCTAGTTTTTTGAGGAACCTCCAAATTCTCATAGTGGTTGTACTAATTTACAATCCCAACAATAGTGTCAAGGTGTTCCTTTTCTCCACATCCTCTCCAGCAGTTGTTACTTGAACTCTTGATGCCTGCCATTCGGATGGGTGTGAGATAAAATCGTAGTGTAGTTTTGATTTGCATTTCCCTAATTGCTAATAATATTGAACATACTTAATTTGTTGGCCTTTTGTATTTCTTTCTTTCTTTTTTTTTTCCCGAGAAGTATCTGTTTAACTCATTTGTCCATTATTAATTGGGTTACTTGATTTTTTGGCATTAAATTTTTGAGTTCTTTATATATTCTAGATATCAATCCTCTGTCAGAAGAATAGCTAGCAAAGATTTTTCTCCCATTCTATAGGTTCTCTTTTCACATTCTTAATTGTTTCCTCTGCTGTGCAAAAACTTTTTAATTTGATGCCAACCCACTTATTAACTCTTGGCTTTATTTCCCAAGCTTTATGGGTTCTATTGAAAAAGTTATTGCCTGTGCTTACACACTGGAGTGTTAGTTTCTGGTCTAATTCTTAGATCTTTTTTTCCCTTTTCTTTTCTTTTTGGTACCGGGGATTGAACTCAGGGGCACTCGACCACTGAGCCACATCTCCAGCCCTATTTTGTATTTTATTTAGAGACAGGGTCTCACTGAGCTGCTTGGTGCCTTGATTAGTACATGGTCTCTAGTTCCATGGGGCTGGCTTTGAACTTGCGATCCTCCTGCCTCTGCCTAGTGCCACCGGGATTAAGGCATGCACCACATCACACAGCCTAATTCTTAGGTCTTTGATTCATTTTCAGTCAATTTTTATGCAAGTTGAAATATAAGGGTCTAGTTTCATTCTCTCTAGATGGATAACCAGTTTTCCCAGTACCATTTGTTAAAAAGGCTCTCTTTTCTCCTATGAATGTTTTTGGCATGTGATTCTATAATCTGGTTGCAGCTTGAGGAGCAACCCCTTGCCTTTGGTCACCTGACTTTTAAACTGCACCAGCATTTCCAGCTGGCTTGAACTTAAAATGCTACCACCCAGAGACATTGCTCTCTTTAGATTCTAAATCTTTTAAATTATTTTTCAATTAAAAAAAATTTTTTTGAGGTACTGAGAATTGTACCCAGGGATGCTTTACCATTGAACTACATTCCCACCTTTTTAAAAATTTTGAGAGAGAGACAGTCTCACAAAGTTGCTTAGGGCCTCCCTAGGTTGCTAAGGCTGGCCTTGAATTTGTGATCCTCCTGCCTCAGTCCGCCAAATTCTTGGAATTACAGGCTTGCCCCACTGTGCCCAGCTGACTTTTCAATTTCAAAGAGAGAGAGAGGGAGGGAAAGAAGAAACTGATCAGAATTAAGACCACTCTAGGAATGTTCTTAATCTCTTTTTTTCCAGCTTTTGGCTGATATATGCAACTACAGAACAAATATAACCTTCCCCCACAGTATGAGACTAAACCAGCAGCTTCTGGTCTAGTGTTCAGAAAAGATGCACCGCCTAAAAGGTCGGGCTTGTGATGTGACTCCAGTGCCCTCTACAAATGAGGCCTTGCAAACAACCAGTAGATGGTCACAGTATCAGCACTGTCCTTGGGTCCTTCCAAATTTCATAGGCAGGACACCTGTGAGGGGAGCAGCCTGTACTTCTGTTCGAGGATGGCTGTGTGCTTTCCAGGGCACAGCCTGGATGAATGATCCTAAGCTTTCTAGGCATAGGTAAGTCAACCACGTTAGAGCTGAGAGGATACTGGTAAGAGCAAGAGGTCCCCCAACATCTGGGTCAAGTCCTGCATGAAGGCACAGCTAGGAATCCAGACCCTTACCAGCTGTAGACCTTGGTCATGCTGCCCAAGCATACTGCAAGCAGTCTGGCCTTGCTGCAGCCCTTGAGGCGGTGTACACATCCAGTGCTGCTGAGCTGCTTGCTGAGCTATACACTGTGTCCATGCGGCCACTACAGTTCCAGCATGCAGCTCTGGGCTTGGGGCTTATATGGCCCCACTCCCTGGGAGCTTCAGCAAGCTGACTCCCTGGAACAGGGCTCAGCGAATGGGCAGCCATGGGGCCCTCACCCAACCCCATCTCTCTCAGGTTATTTTGAAGTGATTGCTTTTTTAACGCATAGACTTCTGTGGGCAGTGTGTGGCCCTAATTTTTAGAAAAATCTCTTTTGAACCCTTACTTTTTCTGTGGGGGAGGGTGTGTATAGGCTACAAACTTCAAAAACTTCAAAATGTTGTAAAGTGAACAGGCAGTCTCCCTCCTACTTCTGACCAGAAGTCCCACAGTTCCATTTTCATTCATCAGAGGCCAGCATACTTCTTGTTATTTTATTTTAGTTTTTTGTAGTATCCATTCAGAAAGAGTATACTGCTATCCAAGCCCACACACATAGCTCTTCCATACACAGCTATATATACTTCCCTTTTCCCTTCCACAAACAGTAGCATATTATTCACACCATACCGCAGCATTCACAGATTTATCACGTAGCTCGTTCCCATGCAGAAGCCACATAGAATTACCTTAATTAGATGTTCCATAATGTACTTAACCAGCTCTCTACTGATGGACATTTAGGTTGTTTCCATGGTAGTGAGAGTTTAAAGGGATTCCTTCCCATATGTAAGTAATTCATTTTCTACATCCTCTGGCATAATAGCATACACAATCTTTTTTTTTTTTTTTTTTTTTTTTAAAAGGGAGTGAGAGAGAGAGGGGGACAGAGAGAGAGAGAGAGAATTAAACATTTATTTATTTTTTCTTAGTTCTTGGCGGACACAACATCTTTGTTGGTATGTGGTGCTGCTGAGGATCGAACCCGGGCCGCACGCATGCTAGGCGAGCGCGCTACCGCTTGAGCCACATCCCCAGCCCCACACAATCTTAAATTAATTTTTGATTCCTTCCTTTTCTCAGTCCTCTTCATTGCCAAGCCCTACTCATTCAGTTTTCTTTTTCTCACTCTTATTTTTTTTTGAGGGGGAGGTATTGGGATTGAGCCCAGAGTCTCCTGCATGCTAGGCAAGTTCTCTACCATTGAGTTATACACAGAGCCCTTTTTAAAAAATTTTGTTTAAATAGGGTCTCACTAAATTGCCCGGCCATACCATGCGTGAGGCCCTAGGTTGGATCCCCAATTTGTACACATATATGAATGAATGAATGTATGAATGAATGAATGAATGAATACAAGAAGGAAGAAGAAAGAAAACTGTCCAGGCTGGCTTCTCAAACTTGTGATCCTCCTGCCTCAGCCTCCCCCAAGCAGCTGAGATTACCGTCATGCACGTCATGCCAGGCTCTCTACCTTGGTTGATTTATCTCTCCTCTCCTCTCCTAAGGTTATACTTCAGCTCTTTATAAGCATCTTCCCAGATCCACCCTAGTTATAATTTTGTCTCTAGCCCCCCAACTTTAATATATGTAGCACACAGCTTTAGGAACCCTCTTATAAGATCATTGCTTTAATTATGCTTCTTTATTACCCCCACCAGAGAACTTTAAGCAACTTCTCATTTATCAAACTAAAATCCTACACTCTGGACTTTATTTCACCTAATCTTCCTCCAAATCTTACAGTGGGTAGATACATTATCCCCCATTTATAGCCAAATTTATAGTCAAAGAAACAGAAGTTTGGGAAGACTGGCTTTTTTTTTTTTTTAGGTACTGGGGATTGAACTGGGGGCCTTGCACATGCTAGACAAGCACCATCCTACATCCCCAGCTCCTCTTTTTTGTTATTATATTTTTTAAACCTTTATTTTACTTATTTTTATGTGGTGCTGAGGATCAAACCCAGTGCCTCACACATACTGGACAACAAGTGTTCTACCACTGAGCTACTACTGCAGCTCCTCCCCAGCTCTTTTTAAAAATTTTATGCTGAGGGCTGGGGTTGTGGCTCAGCAGCAGAGCGCTCACTTAGCACATGCGATGCCCTGGGTTCGATCCTCAGCACCACATAAAAATAAATAAAATAAAGGTATTGTGTTCAACTACAACTAAAAAATAAATATTATTATTAATAATAATAATAATAAATGGAAGAGCTGAGACCTGAACTTGGTTTATCTGACCCATATTCTTAACCATCACTCTAGATTGACTTTTCCAAGTGAATTAAGTGGAAATAAGCAGTCAGACCAAAGATAATTTTGTTTGTTAGTTGGTTGGTTGGTGCTAAGGATTGAACCTAGGGCCTCACTCATCCTAAGCACATGATCTACCACTGAGCCACACCTCTAGCCACAACAATCTTGCTTATTTTTAATGAGGTATTCTCAGATCAGTAATCCCTTCTAAAAAGAACTGCCCAGGAAAAAAGCTGTTATTATTTGCAGAAAACGATTAGAAATCTTGTGAACATTTATTGTATCTACTCCAGTCTTTGTTCTGAAGCATCATGAGGTGTCCTACCTGGGCAGCCTCATAAGTGATGGTCTTGGTCTCGGTGTGGACAATGGGGACGTCTTTGGTCGGGATTTCACTTTTCACAGCATTTGCAGTATCTGATATGGTGACAGTTTGAGTCTTCACCAGTGGGGGCTGTGAAGTAGTAAAGTAACAGAGTTATCAGAGTCTTGCTGAAGGCTTGAAGAACTAAACCTTCTGACATTGATCTGATCAAAGCTTTAGCTAGAATCAAGCAAAGGGTGAGCTGAATCTCCAAAGGTGTTTCCTCTGCCCAAGTCTTGGACTCTATTTCAAAGTCCTCCTGACAGGGTGTCACATCATGAGGGATATTAAAAAGCAGCATTACTGTAATCACTTTCATAAGCTTAATGGAAAACTTTAAGATCAGACAGTTATGACTTGTATTATAAAACACTTCAGATTGACCTTCAGAATTTGAATATAAAACTATTTGCCAAATAGCCATCACTTTCATTTGTCCTTGTGGCTGTACCATTATAATTAAGAAAATCGGCCACATTTCCTCCACTAAATACAAAACGGTACAAGAAACAGCAGAGGCACTGGAATGCATTACCCTGGGATTCATTAACTTCTCTCAAATCAATGTCAGACATTCACACTGGGCTCACTGAAAAGAAGCAGAATTTGGAAAACTGGAAAGAAAAAAAAATCAGTTCTACCACCACCTGGTGATTAATCTCAGAATTTCAGAAGAATGAACATTAGTGGAATATCAAAGGCCTTCTTGTCCATCTGCTCACCTTCCCCAGTCACCTTAAAACTACCACTGGACTGAGATTGGGTTAAGTGACCATCCACCTTGGCACAGGGAATTAGTGTCTACAATCATGGAATCCCCTAGGAGTAGGGTCAGTGGGTGTGGTGGACTACACAGTGGGGCTATAGTATATAGATTATTATTTGGGGCCTGAAATCTCACCAAAAGATCGGCTGCCCCTGTAAGGAGTCCTGGAAATTTTTGAACATGGTCTCAGAACACTGAAGGTTCCTCACCACGGAAGTCTCCAAAATTCACCTCTTTCCTTCACCTATGCTTACTTGAACAGCTAATAGATGAACATACTTACACCAGCTTCATAAAGTAAATAGCTGGAATTTATTCCCAAGAGTTTTGTTAAGTTATCAGGGAAGAAGGTACCTAGTCATAGAGTTGATTCCTCTGAATTAATTTATTATAATCAAAGGCTTTAATTTTACTTTGTGATTTTGAAGAAAAAAAGAAGAGAAGCTGCTACCCTCACCACCACCACCACCACCACCTCCTCCTCCATAGGACAGATTCTGGCCCTCTCCCAGAGAGTCATTACACCTGAGTCATCCAATCAGTCACTACCTGGAAACTTCGAATGAGGGTGGGGAACTGGGTACCCACACGTAAGTCAAGAAATGATCCGTTTTGTTTTCCAAGTGGCTCTCCTGGTGTGACATGTTCTTCACTACTGTCTGCCTTTTTTTCACCAAGTTGCAGCTGACAGGAAGCTGGTGTTACTGAGGGTGTTAAGACACTGGCCTGTCCCTCCACTCCTGGACATTCCCCACTTGGGCCTCTTAGCATCTCCTTAGTATCAGGAGAGCCAGCTGCCCCCTGTTCCTTCTGCTCTGTCTCCTTGCTGCTTGTGGAGAGGGAGCCAAGGTTAAAGCTCTGTGGAGACGCTGATGGGGTGGTCATCTGGCTCTCACTAGGAACTACCAACTGCTTGGGGCCCTCCCATTCAGAGTCAGGGTTAGTAGATGACCCTTTTGTCACGACAGCCACCTCCTCGGTGCGAATGCCATTTATACTCTACAAATGAACGAACACATATAAAAACAAGAAGATTAGGAATAAGCGGTGGAACATAATGAACTTTGAGAATCAACAATGATTTTTAAGATGCCTCACCAATGTTAATATAAAGCAAGAATCTCGGCTCTGAGGTAGTCAAAAGCAAGAACTGCTGCCATTTGCTACATTTATCTGCAGCTTAAGCAACTCCAATTCATTTTGGTCATATTTCTGTAACATTGTTAATCTGAGAATTAATTCCCATGTGCCTCACACAGTACCTAGCACTTTGTAGTCTTATGATCTTGGCTGTATAACATATTCTCTTCAGGAGAATACTTACAGAAGTCACTTTGTCATTCCTAAATACCTAACTCATTACTATACACAGGGCACAGTACAATTTATGAGTCAATCATAACATGTTCTTGAGAAGCTGATCAGGTTGAAAAATATCTCCGAGTTTCAGGCATCATCATGCTAACTCCAAACAGAGAAGCTAATATCTAGATTTGATTGGCAGGAAGAGAGAGACACAGGTAGCAGACACTCTAATCATGGTCACAACATCAGACGTGCTATCCAAAATAGTGAAATGTTTCTCTGAAAACAACACAAATGACCAGCAGCTGAGATGTGTTTCTTCACAGATGAATGACAAAACACTTCAATTTATGAGAGAGAGAAATTCTGGAAACACAGTTTCCTCCTGGGCTAAATGCTTCTCATCACAGAAAAAAATAGTTTTAAAAAAGTACGGGGAGAAGATGATAGCACTACAGAAGATGCACCTATTCCTATAGGTTTAAAGAAACATCAAATGCTTTAAGTGGAGGAGGAGGAGGAGGAATTCCCATCTGCAGGAATATGAACCTTTGGAAAAATGAACAATCTAAGTGAAGCCAAAGGCAGTGGCAAGCAATAGTCTACACGTGCTCGCTTGAAATATGCATATGTAAAGAAGCCACTTAAGGCCTTAATTTCTGGTAAGGTCACTTTACCATATTACATGCCACAGCGGAACCTAATAATAGAAAGGGACTCTTTTAAGAAAAGTATTCTTGGAATCAATGACTAAGCTTGAACCAGTGTACATATTTTAGTGCTCAAACCATGTTACATGTGTTTATTATATTTTTTAAAAATTACTGCTACTCCTAACTCTGTGAGCCAGCCTACTTGTGGTGAATATAAACCAGTGCTCTATTAAGGCAAGAAAAGACGCCCTGCACCAGGAACTCTGGGCCAACTTCACTCCTCCACCCTCTTGAAACATGTGACACAAGAGCATCTCAACAGGCACGAGCTGAGTCCAGAGTAAGTGGTGCTTTCATAATCACTGAGGATGCATATGACTTGGAACATGAAGAGCAAAATTGAGAAACTGACAATAGGGCTGTTTCTGTCTGCAGATCAGAGACACAAAAAACATTCTTGCCAATAGTATATTACCAATAGAATATTAATTTCCTCATACTTAAAATGAGAATGAAACTTGGACTTGTAGAGGTCTGAAGATCAAATACAATAACATGAAAACATTTTTTTTTTTTTGTAAATTCTAATGCATCAGACTGATTCATTTAATTTAACCAAATGATTAGCAGGGCACCTCTAATATAAGAGGACCTGGAGCACAAAAGATTTAATTTGTTGTGACACACAGCATGCCGTACTACTTTTAGGGAACTTATCTCACCATTTCTTTTGAGGTTGTTCAAAAACAGATTAGCTAATAATAAACAAATAGGCTTTCTCGGATTGCTGTAGGCTAGCCCTAGCTCTGTGGAACAGGGTATCCAACCCCACTCACATGGAAAGGAACTTCAAGGCTTCTCCAAACCTGTCACAACTGGGAAGGTTGACTAATAATAAGAAAAATACCTAGGAAAATCAAATAAGAGCCAATTTGGTGCCAATCTGCTCAAATGATAAGCAACATCTCTCATCAAGAAGCTATTTGTGAGTGGGCATGGTGGTGTACACTTGTAAATCCACTAGCTAGGGATGCTGAAGCAGGAGGATTACGAGTTCAAAACCAGCCTCAGCAACTGTGAGGCACTAAGCAACTCAGTGAAACCCTGTCTCTAAATAAAATACAAAATAGTGTTGGGGATGTGGTTCTATGGTCAAGTGCCCCTGAGTTCAATACCAGTGGGAGGAGGAGGGGGGGAAGGGAGGGGCAGGGGCAGCAGCAGCTATTTGTGAATTAATTACATTGCTTAGGCCAGCACCACTTGACCCACAGTTGTCAAGTGCCACAAAGTTGTCTACAACTAGATCAATCTCTTTATTCCCCCAAAGCATATATATAAGAGATCAGGGTTAAGGTTGTAGCCATTATACTTTCAACTCAACAAATATTTACTGAGCACCACATATGTGCTAGATTAGAAATAAAAAGAAAACTGTTAACAGCTGGTTTGGATTACCATTTATAGCACTCTCACCTATGGTCAAATTCACCTCTTCAGTTGGCTCTGCTGACTGGATCTTTTGGACAATAGAGACCATGATTTACCAACCATCCTCGAAGGCATGCCCTATACTAAACTCACCCAATCACGGCCTGCACCTCTCACCCCAGCTTCCTTCATTATCTCTATTACATTGGTAAATGGTACTGTCATCTATTCAGTGCTCCATGCCCGAGAGTCATCTTCAACGCCTTCCTTACTCAATCTACCGGAGATTATATAACCAAGTCATCTTTATTCTATTCTGATATTCCCCTTATCTGTCTGCCTATCTCTATTTCCACATTTGCTACCTCCATTCAAGCTTTTACAATGCCTCACCCAGATTATTACAGAAACTCTCAACAGTTTTTCTTCTTTTTTTTTTCACCTCAAACCTTCTTTGAATATATCCTCCATTTTGTTGTTAAAGTGTTTTTCTAACATGAAGCACTGAAACCTCCATTTTTCCAGCTTAAAACTCTTCAGCAGATCTTCACTGCCTTTTGGTTGAAGTCCAAACACTTGAGTAAGATGGAAAATCCTTCAAAATCTGACCCCTACCTCTCCCTCTAGCTTCATACTGCTACACATCCACATATAGCTTTCACTCCATTAACTCAAAACTATTTGCAGTTTCTAGTACACATTGAACTTTCTTCTGCCTCCATTATTTTGTGAATATTGTTCCTTCTGGTTGGAAGTCTATGCCTAGCTCAAGTATCAGTTCTTCTGGGAGTTTTCCTGAGTGTCCACAGTGTAGTTAGATACCATTCCTGTTCGGTTCTCATTATACCCTCATTACTTGTATCACCTGTCTTTTCCGTTGGACTTTGGGGAATAAGAACATCCTTATCCTTACTATGTCTAACTTGGCTTCATATCTTTCTTATATAGTTTTTGGCACAAAACAGACATACGGTAAAAACTTGTTAAAGGTATATTAAATCCAGGTTCTGCTTTGTCTCATGCTATTTAATAACTGAAACATTTAGAAAGGCATGTTTAGAAAGAACATAAACAGGGCTGGGGATGTGGCTCAAGCGGAAGTGTGCTCGCCTGGCATGCGTGCGGCTCGGGTTCGATCCTCAGCACCACATACAAACAAAGATGTTGTGTCCGCCAAAAACTAAAAAATAAATGTTAAAATTCTCTCTCTTTAAAAAAAAAAAAAAAGAAGAACATAAACAGTGGCTCACTTAACCAGACCCCATTGTCTAGTGTATTATCTTTTCTGTCAGTAAAATAAGAGAAAAACTAATATAACGCATGTTTACCATGCACTAATCACTTTAACATGTTTTCTCATTTAAATTCTCTACAATCTCACTGTGAAGGAGTCATTTTCCCAATTTTATAAAAACAAAGAAATGCACAAGTTAAGCAACTTAGAGCTAGGAAGTGACGGCACTAGGGCTTGGATTCTGGTCTGCTTCTAGTTCTAAAGCCCATCTTCTAACCAAGGCAGCAGAAGACATTTCACGTAGGACCAAAGGAAATGTCCTATTATGTTCAAAAGAATACACATCAAATCTGACTCTAATTTCAAGAAGTATAATGATTGTCCAAAGTCCACTTCACAAAGTCTGTTCTTAGTGGCTGATATTATATTTTTAAATATAAGGAGAAAGCTGAAAAGACAGATGATAACTCTGGCCAAAAGAAGATATAAAGTCCTCCTGACATAAGACATCCAGAATTTGGTATATGATTATCAGTGAAGAATTTTAACTGACAAGAGTTTTTGCTGCTGGCTATGACCATCAGCAAGGGCCACTGGTTGCATAAGACTCACAAATGCATAAACTAAATTAGCCTGGAAACTTTACAGGGATCTTGCCAGGAATACCAATTGATATATGGCTGTGTATGAACCATTCACAGTGACAGAAAGGCAAAACTGAGACTTAATGTGATTCAAAGGTATTAATCTAGGCATTGCTTATCCTAACTGATGGGGGAAATCTATAGGAAAAGAGATGCTTCAATAATAGACCTGCTACCTGCATGAGGTACTGCAGTGATACCCAGTTGGTTTCAAGAATATGAAAAGAAGGTCTAATGGAATTACAGGGGTACACCACCACACCAGGTTAGACAAATGTTTAATTAAACATGGGCACTAAAGATTCTCAATTTCATTTAAAAAGCCGATGGTTTCTACTAAGCATGATAACTCAGCATTTTCTGTTTTGTCAAAGGCTTTCTACTTACTCAAAGGGATTTATGTTTCAGACTCCTCAAACCCTGTGTATATACATGCCATGACGAGTTATAAATTACCCCTTCCTTGATGTACGGATCCCAGATACTGTTAACAACAGGTATTTTGCTGTCCTTCCATTAAACCTGCTTTTCAGGTTATTTTTGATTAAGAGATTTATTCATTTGAAGAGACTATCAAAGGAGCCACAGTTATGTTTGTATGACTACCTTCTCCTACAAGAATCACCGTGAAAATACATCCTGAAAACCTTTCCAAAATTTTGCTACTTAAGCAAGAGCCATCTAGGTTGTTCCAGGGGAATCTGTATAGTAATTTTCCCACATCCATTTGGTCCC